GCAGCGACAGGACGGTCCTTGATTTACAACTAATTCTCTTCCGAAACACCTAGTTTAACAGTATTTCGCAGCTTCCCTTCCTGGGTGGTTAATTAGTGTCAGACTCCTCTGGCATGGTGCCTGCAATGAACTGACTGCCCAACAATTCATCCTATAGTATTTGCAATAAATCTGAGCTGGAAGGTTGCCTGGCGTATCTCAGAAGAGGGTATCATGAACGCAAATGTTCTATCCTTTGAGGTTTTTGTGGACAACTTTATTGAAGTGGGCTTTTGTGCTCAGTCTCGTGCGTTTGCCCACGCTCACTTGACTCCGAAGAATCGCGCAGAGATTGATAGAATAGTCAAACGGATACGGTTGGTCTTCATTTGGTTCTAGGAGGACGTTAATATTCCAGGTAATAAAAGTCCATTGCATCAGGCCGTACCATGGCATACTACTCTTGGAAGACGTTTGGCCAAGTCCTGATGCTAATCCGTCAGTAACATTGCTTTTAAAGCACTGCGAAGCGGACAGATCTATTTTAGATATGTCGACTGCTTCAGGAATACCTCTACTTCAGGTGTGTGACATGTTTTGATTGAATTTTTATTGCGACCGAAAACGATAAGTGAAAGGGAATTCCAGGAGTTATTTTAGGTATTTCTTATTGTACGCCATTTACTGTTATGGGCTCGTGCTATCGTTATCTATCCGTTATGTAACTCAAACGTCTACGCATCCGCCACGTATCCAAAGCCATGGAAAAGGTGGTGGTTTTGATACAGAATTTCGAGACTCGAATGCAGACTTATTTTGCTAAGGATCAGAACAAAAAAAAGGGACTCAGCGACTTCCCGGAGATTGACTGAGGGATCATTCATTCCAGCGATCGTGAGCCGGCGAGGGGTGGGGGGCGGGAGGGGCATCAAAACGTTGCATGAAGAACACATCATGGCAGGGAAGACAACTGGTTGCTCAGCTCGACTAAATCCTTTCCCTCTCTTACTCCCCTTCATCTATGATTCTCCTCCATCTAAATGTCCGATTTCACCTATACCTTAAAGGCAGTTGGCACGATAAATCCCCAAGGCGACTAGGATCAATACTCCTGGCAGGATAGAATTCCGCGACCCTGGGCAGGCGCTGCATAGCGGTTTCCCCGAGGAAGGTGCCCTTATAAGGGCCCTATCAAGCCACAACTTTACGTCCCAAACGCCCGTCACACGAACAAGGGTGGAGCTAAGATATCGTAAGAGATAAGAGCCACTTGCGGTACTCAAATCTAGTAAGTACTCTAGATGACCCTACAGCCGCTTTGCACCCTTCTTTCCAATCATCAACAAATTGGAAAGAAGGGTGCAAAGCGGCTGTAGGGTCATCTAGAGTACTTACTTGATTGCTCACTCATTATACCAGTGCATCATGCGTGTGGTATCGTCTCGAGAGGTGCTCATGTTCCCGTATGTCTGAGGTTAATAAGTCGAACTACCATCCTAGTCAATGGTTGTGAATCCATCACAAGGTTGGAGTGGTTGGGAGAATTAAATTCTGTATTCTCATACCCTACGACCTCTCTGTTTTTTGTAAGCCCCACTCGACGAATCAAGTGTAACTTCGTCCCAAGTGACTTGGTAGGACTCCTTTCAATAGGAATTCCTCGGGGAAAGTGTGCTCTCATTACTTTTTATTCTCATTGATTTGGCATCGTAAATAAGGAAATTTCAAGGATGCAAATACGGGACCTGCCTTCGAAAAACAGAGCACCATTGCATTCGAATCAAAGGCTTGAGTACCCGTACGAAAGAGTACTCAAAAGGTCACCTTGACGAACTAGTGAAGGAATTTGGAGAGTCGTAGCATTTGTGGCGTATATAGTCTGCTTAGATATCCATGTGGTTCACCAATTGTAGGACTCCCAGTTCGACGCAAGGATCTCCAACCGTGTCGTTGGGGTCCCTGAAGAACGGGTTATATTCAATTGCTACGAGGGAAAGGGAGTGTAGGGGTTCCATATGGCTGCTGAGAGGAGAGCGGTCTGCTTCAATAGAGAAGGACCGGTGAGTTGCAGGGACTACATTCTGACAAACTTTCATTTTTATTGTTCTACTTCCCATTTAAGACGGAGGTGGGATAGTGGCAAGTTGCGCGCTCACTACGCGCGCACCCGGCCGGCCCAACAGTCAAATCCTTGATCGCCCTTGCAAATCAAGTCTTCTATCCTGCAGGACAATAATTTGGCACTAGGTTCGTCCGGGAGGACCAGACGCTGAGCTGTACATCGGCCGACTGCTGCAAGACTTTTGTATCGGGCATATCGCATTCAGTCAGCTTGACGACCGGATTGGAAATAGAATGTGAACGGATTGGAAATAGAATGTGTCATATCACAAAAAGGGCTATCAAAGCTCTATACTGTTCCTATCTCCATAGGCAGTTTTTTTCCTGAAACATCGGGAAACAGAAATGGTGGGCGCAGGCGAAGAATAAGGCAAAAGCAGGCAAATTTGACTCTTGGGTTTAGAGGGGTTGTACTTTGAGTGGTGGTGGAGGGCGTCCTTGTGAATGACCAACTTTCCAAATTGTCGTAGCGTATCCTGCTTCACCTAAGTGAGCCATTGATGCCTTTCGGATGTGCATTA